TCTGTAAAAATATGGGTGCTCTTTCCATATGCCCGATGCGCCTAAAAGGGGGGGGGGGTAAAGGGATCTTTACTTTTTTTTTTACTAGCCTCGTTCTTTCTTACATCATTTCATCCCTACATTAAGAAACGGCAAAACATCATAAACATCAGCTACATATTATATAATAGCACTGGAAATGACACAATTCTAACTAAGTAAACTATAGCAACTGCAATACATCTAGGGAAAGTATGTGCTGAGATGATATTCGAACAGTTTCCGATTGTATATGTAGGGACTAGTGGCATTTGTTATGTGTTATTGCAGATGGCTCCACAACTGAACTGTGAAGTACGACTTGTTTTATTTGGGTCTATCCCAGCTTTAGGGATATATTATATGTTTAGGGTTATGTTATGCTTTCCATTATATTTAAACAGCTGCCACAAGTAACGTGAAACCTTTTGGAATAATTTGTATTATTACATTTAGCCTTACTGAAAAAATAGACGTTCACGAAGTGGTAGTAGCATCAGACCTTTATATATAGGTTTTGAGACTCTGTCCCAAGATCTTTGCTTGTTAAAAGAATGGCGCGCTTTTACAGTGACGTAAGCGGCTTGATGACGAAGCTGGAACAACTATCCTATATTGTAGAGCAATAACCTATATATGTCTGGGTGTGGGAAGTATAAGATATTATTCTAGTGTTTTCATTAAGAGACAGACAGACGTACAAGGGGGTGGGAAAAGGGAGGGGAGGGTGGTTGTAAAACCAGAGGCGGCCAGACATGAGTCATCAAAGAGTGATATTGAAATTCATAATAAGATGCTGTAGATACGGACAATCTATTTAAAGCGAACGAACGGAGGAGGAGAAAGACGAGATGAGCTAAGTCAAGAACTGATTTCAGAGCACTCTGGGTAATCTCATAGGAGCTGTATTCTCATCTTCAGTGGCCAGATAAGAGTTTTATATCCGATAGAGAAGAAGAAAACTAATGCACTGCCGAATTTATGTTAACTGCTGTTCACGATCGGCGTGATGCTTATCACATCAACCATCTTGTGCCGATTAGTGTATAAAAATATAGGTCTAGCCCAATATGCCCTATACGCCTAAAGGCGTGGAAAAGGGTCCTTTACTTGAACTGTTGTTTACGATATCTTTCTAACAAGCTGTGTACACACAGGTGGCAGAACTACAAAAGTACTGATATCCATTCTAGGTTTTTATTAAGATTGAAATTGACCAGTTTTGTGTCTACTGGTTCCGACATCAATCAACGAGCGGCACGTGACTATATCGTAAACTGCTGGGTGATTGCGACGTTTGAAATAAAACGTATTTGACCTTTTAAACACTCATTTAGGAAAAAACTGACTGAGCTGAAATTAATGATTTGCTCAGGAAAATAAAATGTATTTAGGAAGACTATGCTTCGGTTAGTGTAAGGATAGTTGAAGTGCTTTACAAAAGTCGTACCCTCACACTTTAACACATGTCTCGAAGACTTTTGTACTGAACGTCATAAATTCTTTGCTTTCGGACTTAGAGATTTTTCCAAGTCCTTATGATTTTTAAATTTACAATTGCACGCGTGCTTCAGTTTCCCGAAGCTGCTAAATTAATTGATCTTTGTTAGGCTAATGCTTTATGTGACCCTAAAAAATAGAATATAACTGACATCGATTATTTGGATATCAGTTCCCACGTGCAACAATGCGTGGTGATTATTTTGGTACCATATCGCGCATATAATTAAATAGTGTCTTCATCTAATTCTAAGGAGGGTAATGCAGCAGAAGATCATCTGAGAGTGACATGCTTATAAAACGTGTGCAGTCAGTTAGTACAAATCCCTTTTCACGCCTTTAGGCGCATCAGACTTATGAGAAGAGCACCCATATTTTACAGATCAATCAGCAGTAGGTGGGTAATGTGGTCAGCATTACATCGGTCGTCTTTACTGGTACCCATTTTAGGCTGGTTCGACATGCGACACCCCATGCCATGATAAAAATCCGCGCAGCCAGCGGTAGGTTTCGATCACAAAAGTTGGAATTATGAGCCAGACTCGTAACGCCTAAACCACGTACGCCACCAACAACTTTAACTGAACTGTTACTAAGAACATATTTTTAAAGTTGGTCAGGACATTTGGAACGTACTGCAATTGCATATCATTTGTAGGGCATTTCAAAACCCGACAGTAATATTTGTTTTTGTTTGTTTGTGGTTTTGCTGTAACTTCTTTGTTTAGTCTCGTTTAAGTACATAAAACCCCAACCGGATTATAATTCAAAAATTTAAAGCATGCATGTGTCATTGCATACGCAATGAATAATTCGTTCACGTGCTTTCAACACGTGTTCTCGTTACAAATATAGCATTCGCATTATTACTGTCGAGATTACAAAGCTGTTTATTTGGATGGATGTTTTGATTTATCCAGACGTCCGTCGTTACTTTCTCAGTGACGAATTGTTAGGGTTAGTAAAACTAGTTGGCGTTTGTGGCTTAGGCGTTGCGAACGCACTTCGTAGTTCCGGGGTGCCGGGTTTGATCCCAGCTGCCGGTCATTTGGCAGCAGACCATGTTGCATTAGTTTCAACAGACAGTGGTAAAGAGAGCTGATCGGTCAGTGGCAATGGCAATCTACTGAGTGTAAAAATTTGCATAGAATGCTGAGGTTTGTTCTCATCGTGCTGTAAAGGACTGCTTTTGTTCCATTTTTGCTTTAACCAAGTTTAACCCTATTGTTTTACTTTAAACTTTTTTGAATTATCGTTGTTGAATTAAATCCCAATAGGACTCAATAAATTACCAGTCTGAAGCATCCACACTTTACTATAATTTGAATACGATGGGTCATAAAGCGCAAATGTCGTTACGCAGATGTGAACTTTGCACACCATTCCGAATACGCTTTTGAAGGGCGAACACCAAAGACGTAGAAAAGGAATTGATAGTCTTAATAACAGTAGTCGTTATAGTAGTGGTGGTGGTGGTGGTGGCAGTAGTACTACTAGAAGAAAAAGGAGGAGGAGAAGGATAAGGAGGAGGGAGAAGAAAAGAAGAAGAAGAAGAAGAAGAAGAAGAAGAAGAAGAAGAAGAAGAAGAAGAAGAAGAAGAAGAAGAAGAAGAAGAAGAAGAAGAAGAAGAAGAAAAGAAGAAGAAGAAGAAGAAGAAGAAGAAGAAGAAGAAGAAGAAGACAGAAGGAAGAAAGAAGAAGAAGAAGAAGAAGAAGAAGAAGAAGAAGAAGAAGAAGAAGAAGAAGAAGAAGAAGAAGAAGAAGAAGAAGAAGAAGAAGAAGAAGAAGAAGAAGAAGAAGAAGAAGAAGAAGAAGAAGAAGAAGAAAAAGAAGAAGAAGAAGAAAAAGAAGAAGAAGAAACATAGGGACGAGGATGAGAAGGAGGAGATGGAAGAGAATAAGAAGTAACAGAAGATTCTTTGACCAATGTCCACTCTGCTTCGTAATTTTCATACATAAGTTTGATTTATTGTCTGACGACTTTTGAAAGAGGTAGGTAGGTAGTTGTACTTCACCAGGACATCACACAAGCGAAAAACACCCGTTACACTAAGTGCCACCATGTGGATGAGGATCACTCGTGGAAAGGTCCCAGAAAACCCTTTCAGCTGTTAGGCCAAATCTACAGCTAGGCCATATTTATGGCCTTGTTATTTTTAGGGCCTCCGGCAAAAGCCAGGGTGGGGCTTCAAAACAACAAAAACATTGCATTCCACGAGTGGACGACTAGTTTTAAAAGAATTAAACACGAGTCATTTGCAAAGGAAAACATATAATGAGAAAATTCACCAAGATGAAGACATATTTCAATAGATAATGTTCACTTGATAATCACACAAGGGCAAAAAATATCAACGTCTGGGAACAAAAATAATAAATAACATAAAATAATTGACAGCGTAAACATATTAAACTAGTTGTGTCTCCCAAACCGCAAATTAATGTGACATTGGAGCCATTATTATATTTCCTCAAACCCAGGAGACTTTCTTGTCGACAAATAATTTACACGTAGATATGTTATTTCACCAAGTTTTGTCTTTGTGATTTATTCTGGCGTCGCAGTTCAAAGGAATTGATATAGACGGATTCTCATAGCCTACATTTGTCTTTGAACCAAGAGGAAGAATTTCATATTGCTATAGTTTTCGACTGTAATCCTGTAGGAGTCAAACTATCTATCCAGCCCTGTTTACATGATAATGCAGAATATTTTGACAGCCCGCTTGGTCTTTTCCCTGTTTTATTTTTTTTACACTGGTAAAACAGGGAAAACCTAACCACGAGGCCGTGGACTTGCAGAGGTGGATGGACTTACATAGGTGGAGGGACTCGCATAGGTGGATGGAGTAACATAGGTGGCTGTACTCACATAGGTGGGCTGACTCACATAGGTGGAGGGACTCACACAGGTAAATGGGCTCACATAGGTGAATGGACCTACATAGGTGGATGGACTAATATAGGTGAATTGACTCATTTAGGTAGATGGACTTTTACGGGTGGGTGGACTCACATATGTGAATGGACTCATATAGGTGGATGGACTCATATAGGTGATGGACTCACATAGGTGGATTAACTCACAAAGGTGGATGAACTCACATAGGTGAATGGACTAATATAGGTGAATGGACTCACATAGGTAAATGGAATCATAGGAACGGACTCATATAGGTGGATAGACACATAGCTGGATGGATTCAAATAGATGAATGTACTTATATAGGTGGATTTACTCACACTGGTCGATGGACTCACATAGGTGGATTGACTAAGATAGGTGGATGGACTCACATAGGTGGATGGACTAACAGAGGTGGATGGACTCACATATGTGGATCGACTAACATAGGTGAATGGACTAACATAGGTGGAGGGACTCACATAGGTGGATGGACTAACATAGGTGGATGGAAACGTAAATGGATGGACTCACATAGGTGGATCTACACACATAGGTGGATGGACTCACTTAGGTGGATGCACTATCATAGGTGGATGAACTAATATCGCTGAATTGACTCATTTAGGTGGATGGACTTATACAGGTGGGTGGACTCACATATGTGAATGGACTCACATAGGTGGATGGACTCACACAGGTGTATGGACTCATTTAGGTGGATGGACTCACATAGGTGAATGGACTCACATGGGTGGATGGACTCACAAAATTGGATGGACTCACATAGGTGAATGGACTAACATAGGTAGATGGACTCACAAAGGTGTATGGACTCACATAGGTGAATGGACTAATATAGATGGATGGACTAACATAGATAGATGGACTAACATAGGTGGATGGACTAACATAGGTGGATGGACTCACATAGGTGGATGGACTAACGAAGATGGATGGACTAACATAGATGGATGGACTCATATAGGTGTATGGACTCATATAGGTGGATGGACTCACATAAGTGGATGAACTCACAAAGGTGGATGAACTCACATAGGTGAATGGACTAATATAGGTGGATGGACTCACATAGGTAAATGGAATCATAGGAACGGACTCATATAGGTGGATAGACACATAGCTGGATGGATTCACATAGATGAATGTACTTATTTAGGTGGATATACTCACACTGGTCGATGGACTCACATAGGTGGATGGACTAAGATAGGTCGATGGACTCACAAAGGTGGATGGACTAACAGAGTTGGATGGACTCGCATATGTGGATCGACTAACATAGGTGGATGGACTAACATAGGTGAAGGGACTCACATAGTTGGATGGACTAACATAGGTGGATGGAGACATAAATGGATGGACTCACATAGGTGGATCTACACACATAGGTTGATGGACTCACATAGGTGGATGGACTCACTTAGGTGGATGCACTAACATAGGTGGATGGACTAATATCGGTGAATTGACTCACATAGGTGGATGGACTCACACAGGTGGATGGACTCACATAGGTGAATGGACTCACATAGGTGGATGGAATAACATAAGTAGATGGACTCACAAAGGTGGATGGACTCACATAGGTGAATGGACTAACATAGATGGATGGACTAACATAGATGGATGGACTAACATAGATGGATGGTCTAACATAGGTGGATCAAATCATAGGAATGGACTTATATAGGTGAATAGACACATAAATGGATGGATTCACATAGATAAATGTACTTATATAAGTGGATGGACTCACATTGGTCGATGGACTCACATAGGTGGATGGACTCACAAAGGTGGATGGTCTCACATAGGTGAATGGACTAACATAGATGGATGGACACATAGGTGGATAGACTAACATAGGTAGATGGACTCACAAAGGTGGATGGACTCACATGGGTGAATGGACTAATATAGATGGATGGACTTACATAGGTTGATGGACTCACCTAGGTGAATGAAATCATAGGAATGGTCTCAAATAGGTGTATAGACACATAGTTGGATGGATTCACATAGATAAATGTACTTATATAGGTGGATGGACTCACATTGGTCGATGGACTCACATAGGTGGATGGACTAACAGAGGTGGATGGACTCACATAGGTGGATGGACTAACAGAGGTGGATGGACTCACATATGTGGATCGACCAACATAGGTGGATGTACTCACATAGGTGGATGGACTAACATAGGTGGAGGGACTTACAAAGGTGGATGGACTAACATAGGTAGATGGACACATAGGTGGATGGACTCACACACATAGGTGGATGGACTCACATAGATGGGTGGACTCACTTAGGTGGATGGACTCACATAAGTGGATCGACTAACATAGGTGGATGGAGACATCGCTTGATGGACTCATATAGGTGAATAGACACATAGTTGGATGGATTCACATAGATGAATGTACTTATATAGGTGGATGGACTCACATTGGTCGATGGACTCACATAGGTGGATGGACTCACATAGCTGGATGGACTCACATAGGTGGATGGACTAACAGAGTTGGATGGACTCACATATGGGGATCGACTAACATAGGTGGATGGACTCACATAGGTGGATGGACTAACATAGGTGGAGGGACTTACAAAGGTGGATGGACTAACATAGGTGGATGGACACATAGGTGTATGGACTCACATAGTTGGATGGACTCACATAGGTGGGTGGACTTACTTAGGTGGATGGACTCACATAAGTGAATCGACTAACATAGGTGGATGGAGACATCGGTGGATGGACTCACATAGGTGGATCTACACGCATAGGTGAATGGATTCACATAGATGAATGTACTTATATAGGCGGATAGACTCACATTGGTCGATAGACTCACATAGGTGGATGGACTCACAAAGGTGGATGGACTCACTTAGGTGGATGGACTAACATGTACTCACATAAGTGGATGGCACAGACGCCAGAACTTGAGAGGCTCAGGTCCTTTGCATCCTTTAAATAATTTATTTTCATTCATGTTTCCTTGTATTTCATCAGTTCTCGTTATGCCTAGTGGCACATGAGGCTTCACAGAGGAATTTCCATGCTTTCCTATCCTGCGCAATCTTCAGTGCAGTTTTCTATGTCAAAAATGCCGCACTCAGGTCACTTTCCATCGTTTGTCTCTATGTTGTTTTTGGCGCCCCTGTTTTCTCTTTCCCTCTGGTGTCCATGTGGATGGACTAACATAGGTACATGGACTCACAAAGGTGGATGGACTCACATGGGTAAATGGACTATTATAGATGGATGGACTAACATAGATGGATGGACTAACATAGATGGATGGACTAACATAGGTGGATGGACTAACGTAGGTGGATGGACTCACATAGGTGGATGGACTCACATAGGTGGATGGACTAACATAGGTGGATGGACTCACATAGGTGGATGGACTCACAAAGGTGGATGGACTCACACAGGTGAATGAACTAACATTGATGGATGGACTCACATAGGTTGATGGACTCACATAGGTGAATTAAATCATAGGAATGGACTCATATAGGTGAATAGACACATAGTTGGATGGATTCACATAGATGAATGTACTTATATAGGTGGATGGACTCACATTGGTCGATGGACTCACATAGGTGGATGGACTCACATAGCTGGATGGACTCACATAGGTGGATGGACTAACAGAGGTGGATGGACTCACATATGTGGATCGACTAACATAGGTGGATGGACTCACATAGGTGGATGGACTAACATAGGTGGAGGGACTTACAAAGGTGGATGGACTAACATAGGTGGATGGACACATAGGTGTATGGACTCACATAGTTGGATGGACTCACACAGGTGGGTGGACTCACTTAGGTGGATGGACTCACATAAGTGAATCGACTAACATAGGTGGATGGAGACATCGGTGGATGGACTCACATAGGTGGATCTACACACATAGGTGAATGGATTCACATAGATGAATGTACTTATATAGGCGGATAGACTCACATTGGTCGATGGACCCACATAGGTGGATGGACTCACAAAGGTGGATGGACTCACTTAGGTGGATGGACTAACATAGGTGGATGGACTCACTTAGGTGGATGGACTCACTTAGGTGGATGGACTAACATAGGTGGATGGACTAACATAGGTGGATGGACTAACATAGGTAGATCGACTCACATATGTGGATGGACTCACATAGGTGTATGTACTCACATAGGTGGATGGCACAGACGCCAGAACTTGAAAGGCTCAGGTCCTTTGCATCCTTTAAATAATTTATTTTCATTCATGTTTCCTTGTATTTGAAATATACTTTTTTTTGGGTCTATTCAGCACTTTATTATCACCAACATTATTCTTATAGAGTAGGATTACGCCTTTAGTGAAATCATGTCTAGCAAATCTAAAGTATATTATAAAAAGATAAAATGTGAAAATTAATACGTGTATAGAGAACATACTTTCGCGGCTAAAGAGGGCTGCTCAGCTCTCTTATGATACTGTGTAGGTTGAGGGAAGGGAGTGGACTCAGTCCATAACTATTGGAAGGGTGGGGAGGCCTCAACGGACCTGCGCCCATTAAGTTACATCGCCTATGAATGTAGGTTCGCCAAGTAACACTTGTCTTTCCAACATGTCAACAGGAAACTTTTTAACATTGACCTCATCGCGGCCAGAAATGGCGTTGATTAAATCTTTGCAATGTATAAACATTCGACCAAACCTTTAGTACCCCAAGGGTCTTTATCAGCCATGCAAGCTCATCAGTATTCCGCTGCAACATTCCACTGGAAGCGTTGACTTCACGTTTGATATACTACTGCTCAAATAGAAATGAGCGGAGTCCTGATTGCGTCTCTCCATTGCCGATAATACTGAATATTTGAAGTTACTTTCAAGACATGCAACATGACAGGCAGACATCCTTTATTTTCTTTCAAGACATGCAACATGACAGGCAGACATCCTTTATTTCTTTTAAGACATTCAACATGACAGGCAGACATCAGAGAATGTTAACCTACCCGACGATTTTTTCCACATGTTTGTTAATAGCGTGTATTTTCTTGTGAGACTGATGATTTAAACGTAGATACTTTGTGAGGAAGTACAACGGGGGAAAACAATATGAAAGGAAATTAATATAAATCTGATATAATCAGTAGCATGGAGAGGGGGAGAGAGATAGAGACAGAGAGAGAGAGAGAGACGAACCAATAAACGAACGAATAAAGTTTATTGTCAGAGTATATTAACTGATCAAACGGACTTGACCAGCGAAAGAGACACGACAGAAGAAAGAGGAGGAGAGAGAAAGGAAGAGAAGACATACACACAGACACACACACACACGCACACACACATACGCATCAGTTTTTAAAAATGGACACACCAAATTTCTTATATTCTGTATTCAACTTTCTTTCTTTCTTGTTTGTCCATTTTCAGTTTTGTGCCCCTAGGTGTACATTAAAAGATGATCGGTTTCTGAGCTTTGGCCTGCTTGATTGCCCGGTATGCTGTGATGTTCGTAGCGATGACTCCTTTAATCCACATTCTTCTTGGTCGTCCCCTACCTCTTGTTGTGTAAAAGTTCGTGTTATACGCTCTCGTTGTTGGCATCATTGGATTCATCATCATTGAATGACTGAGCAATTCGTCTTTTTTTTTTTTAATGCATGTATTTATATATGTTGTTCCAACAGCTCTTGTAATTTCTTCGTTTCTCACACGATTTCTTCTAGGTTTTTCTCCAACATCCCATTTCGCAGGTGGAAAAGGTAAAAAAAAATGTATTAGTAAGTTTGCGCAAACTTCAATCTGTATTCAAACCTTCCTATTACGTTAAAAATTAGAGGTACACAGCACAAACTTCGAGCTTTTCCGACGATTTCCATGGATCTCTGCAAAAATTGAGCTTGCCAACTAAGAGGTGCAACCTTGAAACGAAACTATGGCCTTTAGAGCTTGAGGCAAACAGCTAGCCTACTTGGCCACGAAAAGCCCTAATTTCTGTTTTTATGATATTGAAATAGTTAACGACTCACATTCAGTATCCCAGCAACACCGTTCTAAATATTTGTACAACGCGAACAGCATATAATCTAGAGCTTTATCTCCATGTCTGTGAATTTATTTATGAAACCAGCCTGGCTTCTCTTGCTCATGAAAACAGAGAATCGCAAATCTAAATGGCTTTACAGATTAGCTACATCTGCTGCAAAACATTCAGATTTGACCCGTTGCTGCCTTCACGTTTAAGTGCGGATGCAGTGGTGAATTCTAACCATAGGCGTCAGAACTTGAACCGAGGGACTTGAGGGGGGGGGGGTGTCCTAAGATGCCACACCTAGAAAAAATGAAGAGATGGTAGCCACCCCCCCCCCACCCACGCACAGCCATGTATACAGTTTATATTTATACTTTTCATAATGCATTAAATTTTTAGTTTTAGGCATTTATAGTACAATAATAATAACAATATTAAAATGCATTATTGTTATTTATATTAGTATTTCTATTGCTCAGGCAGACAAGGCTCAAGTCGCATGTGAAAGTTACAAATGTACAGAAAGGAACAGGGAACACATTCTACGTGAGGCTTTAGGTGACAGTTGAGTGAAATGGAAAAAAAAAAAAAAAAAAGCTCATGGATGACACAGGGAGAGGTCAAGAACAGAAATGAGTGTGTCAATGACAAGATAGCTCACATAGAGAAATGAGCCGCGGTGCCGCCCAGCAAAACAGCCCTGCACAGAGTAAATAGTTACCCTGGAACGAAGATGCCAAGAATGGGTAGCTGGTTAAACAAGAGTGTGCGGTACAAGAGTTAATCCATGAAAATACACTCTCATATGACATTATTATACACACAGATGGATAGGTTTTGAGTAACTGTATTTCTTGAACTGTCTTATTTCAGTTTACATCTTCGCAGTCTTCAGAGCATCTCCATTGAACTTCTGAACTTCCAGCAATCGCGCCGCCACAGCGGACAATTAAACACACCCTAATACCCTTGCGCCCTAGAAAAAAATAGTGAGACCTTCAAGGGGCTCAAGTCTTGTTTAATTACGCAATAATACACAGTATCATTATTATTATGCGATGAAAGGTAATAATTTTGATTATATTTGAAATAATTTAAAATGTAAGAACAAATGCAAAAACATAAGGTCTCTCTATGATATGAAATGGGGGGGGGGGGGGGGGGGGTGTCTGCTCCCTATTAACTGTTTTTGTCCTATTATTTTAGTTTACCTCATAAGCGGACTTCGAAAATTGTGGGGAGTTTCCGGGTAAAGTCCAATAGTATAGTGTCTTATGGTGTGAAATTAGCACTGACTTACTTAGACCCCGACCCTAACCCCCTATAATACCGGACTTTCTATGGGCACTTTTGGATCCCCCGAAATAGTGTAAACTAGAATAATAGTACTTTTTTTTTTGGGGGGGGGGGGGGGGGGATGTCAGCCACCTATACAAATTAAGGGAGTGCGGGGAGGGGGGGGGGGCACACAGTGCCGATCACTCTTCGTCTGACGCCTATGTTCCCCAGTATTTACTGACCCATTGCATTCCCAGATCAATCCATGAAACTTTCCCTGTTACAAATACTGCTGGCGCCATTCGACATGTGAATCACCGCTGAAATCAGTTACACACCAGACAGGGTCTGGTATATTTACGGCTGTTGAAACGGTTTATGGAAGAATTATTACGCTGCTATGGCCGCTGTCTTGTGCCTGGCCTGTCGTCTTGCGATACTGATCAGCTTCTCTTTTATGCCACGCACATCGATAATGACAACTGTTTATGCGATTTAAATTTCCTGTCATGTCTCTGAAATGTCATGCCTTCCCTTGCATCATCAGTGAAGCACCAGGTCAGTTGTTTTACGTGCGGAATCGTCATGTTTTGTGAAGCAATTCGTCTACTTATGCAAAACTGAGGGAGACAGGGGAGGGTATTGGTTAGACTCTTGCCTATGAGCCCATATTCTTCTTCTCCTCTCGCCCTCAAAATGGAGGTTATCATGTTGTGTTGTGGTTTACACTAGACTGCGATATTTGTACTTTTCGACCCAACACATCCCATTTTGTTTAAATTCCGAATTAGTTTAACGACATGCTTGTTGGGGGACGGTTAGTGTATCTCCCCTACACACCACACGCTGATGTCTGAAATGGCGGCCGGGAGCTTACACGGTGAATGTGAAAGACCTGACGGCCTTAGATTCAAATCTACATCAACTCTTGAGTTTTACCTGGCTTTCATACCTGTCTAAAATAAGTACTGCAGAATTTTACTGGAAGTAAAGTCGGTCTACCTAATGTGACTCTCTGTGTGGATTTTGCGGCCTCGTGTAGGGAACAAAAGAATAAACTAACTGCCACCTAAAAAAAAACATCAAATAATATGTAAGTAAAGTTCTCTTTTCCACGCCTTTAGGCGTATAAGGAATATATGTTTAGGCATATATTTTTATAGACCAATCGGCACAAAATAGGTAATATTGTCAGCATCACACCGGCCACCTTTACTTCCCAGGACTGTCCTCGGTACCCACTGAAGGCTGTTTCAACCTGGGAGTCAAGTTAATTTTTAAAAGACGTTTCGCTCCGCCAGGGAGCGAACCCATAACCTTCCGTTACGCAAGCAAGCGCCTAGTCGCTAAGCCACGGCGACTCCCACAGCATTCAGTAAGAGTCGACTAATTAAAGATGCTGTATTCAAAGTCAGAGTTCATCTCCTATGAGGCGAAAACCGCAGTCTGCAAACCCATAAGCTGAATCTGTAAAACTCAGAACCTGGAACCTAAAGTTCACAAGTGGATAAACCAGAACTCACCCCTGCAGGTGGCAGCCAGTGACCGCGAAGAAGAAGACACTGTTGACCGAAGAAGGAGACAATGTTGACCGAAGAAGGAGACAATGTTGACCGAAGAAGGAGACAATGTTGACCGAAGAAGGAGACAATGTTGACAGAAGAAGGAGACAATGTTGACAGAAGAAGGAGACAATGTTGACCGAAGAAGGTGACAATGTTGACCGAAGAAGGAGACAATGTTGACCGAAGAAGGAGACAATGTTGACCGAAGAAGGAGACAATGTTGACCGAAGAAGGAGACAATGTTGATCGAAGAAGGAGACAATGTTGACCGAAGAAGGCGACAATGTTGACCGAAGAAGGAGACAATGTTGACCGAAGAAGGAGACAAAGTTGACCACATTACACACTGTTTTTTTCTCTTTAGTATCCAGAAGCCATGAGTTGCTCGTTTCCTAACACACCGGTGAAGGCTGGAACAAAATTCCAAAGGACGCTAACTACTTGGGACCTCTAAAGCGATGCTTGCCATTCTTCACGGAGCATGCCTGTAGTTAAATGTAGAACATAATAAGTGCTGCTAGGTAGAGGAGAAATGATTAATGGGGAAATGATTTAAACAAATTATT